GAGATGTTAGCTCTTTATACAACGAAGTTATAGTGGGATACAAATAATATCAGGCTGATCCTGCCACAATTTGTTCCTCCTGTGTAAATCACGGACAAACAGTATCCCACATTGCTGATTTTTTGTTCACAAACACTTCTTATTATGACGCATTACTCCTGAAACTTTGGAGGATTTAGCGCTTTATATAGTAAAGTTACAGGAGAATAAAAATAGTTATCAGCCAAAATGTTAATGGTTTGTTAAAATAATCCCATCTGATACCCCTTGAGCAATAAATATATAATTTTCTGTTGTAACCCTCAAACTGAATGGTAATGTAATGATACTAATTTTTCACTTTTTCACAAAATGAAAACATCAGTACTTGCTGCGTGCTCCCAGCACAGGGGAAACAAATTCTGTCGGGGATACCTACTTTGGCACGACAGCGGATTTGAAACAGGGTTGTTGCGGCCACAACGCAGAGTACTAACCACTACACGATCACAGCTGGATGCATAGAGCAGCTGTTGCTGGCTTCCATGACACAGCCAGTTTCAACAAACCAATAATCCTATAAGCGTTCTCTATTGTTTTGATGCCATACGTCTGGTCTGTCCATGTAGTTTAGAAGTGTACAAAATTCCCATCACCCATGCTCACCATGTCCGCTCCTGGTCTGAGGGATTCTTCTTTAAGCCAAAGTTTCTCCACTATACAAAAGTATGGATGCCAAAATTAGATCCCTCTTTCGAGTGGACCTAATCTCTGTTCTTCCCAGCGTCTCTTACTTGAGTAACTTTATTAGAGATGTCAACTGGAAAAGAATTTGTTCTTTGCCGTAAAAAATGTTCTTAAAGTGAAGGAAGTTCCATTAAAATTTATTTATTCATATAGTAAATTATTAATTCGGGGCGCTGAAAGATAGAAAAAAATTTACCCTCTTTGAATGTCAGTCAAGTGTATTAGGTTTGTTAGGTTTCTAAGAAAGGATACAATAAAATAAAAGGGGGGGACACACTACATTAACTTTTTCATAGGAGGAAGAAGGAGAAGAAGAAGCTGTACATTGTGTGGACGTGTTTGAAGAAGTGATCTTTAAATCGAATATTAAATTGTATAATAATAATTCTTCTAATTGTATTGTATCTAAAGTTCTCGCAATATAGATAGTGCACTGCGGTGAATATCCAGTAGATGGAGCCCTTGCGAAGCAAAACGCCACTCTTCGAACTGCCAAACTAAAAAAGCTCTTATTTTGAAATTTGGTTCACAGGAAGTTCAGCTAACGCGTCGCCGCTCTGAGTTTGACAGACCAGCGGCAAACTTCGGACTGTCTGTGAGTGAGAAAGTAAACTGTGAATCAGAACACACAGTAAAAGTTGGTCTCAGTGCTGAAGTCCCTGCTGCAGCTGTTTCACGGCTTTCTAACCGCAAGCTGGAGCCGTTGTTAGCTGGAGGCTAACCCCCTGTTTAAAGTGTATCCAGTGGAAATGATTGAGAAATATTTAAGGTCAGTCTCTAATTTACCCTTGCTATGTGAGGAATCCTGCTCGGTTGGTCTCACAGCTCAGTCTCACGTGTTTTACATTTTCAGCTGCGGGTATTAAAGTTTTTAACCTTGTTGTAATGTGTGACAGCATGTTTAGATGACTGTTTTAGGCGTATTGTTGTTGCTAATGCGCTGTTTTGATTTGTTCGGGCTGTATACACGACGAACTCGGGGCAAGAGTCTTGGCACATTAAGCCACATGTTGCTCATATTTTGTGCTTTTCCACCCGCCCGCCAAACGAGAGAGAGATTATAGGGCGTGTTAACAGCAGTCCTGCAAACCGAGTGAAGAAAGAGCTGCAAAATGTTTACTTTACTCCCTACTGCTTGCCTTTATTTATTTATTTTACTGTTTAAAGTCATCAGAGGGCTTTTAGGGGTCTTTCGTGCACATTAAAGGGGCATGCCACCCTTTTTAACAGGTTACTCACTTCTTGTGTCCTATCTAAAAAGTCTAACCAGTCTTCCCATGATTTTGGATTTTCCTGGGATCTAAAACCTACTTTTATTTTCCACTGGTGGGTGTTAACAGCTATGAGAAAAATTGAGAGCTGCCTTCCAGCACAGTCACTACTAAAAAGAGGCTTTGTTTATCTAAATGACAAGTTATATTTCAAAAGTTTGTCTTTTAGGAAAGGAACTATCATATGGTGGAGAAATGAGACAGGAATTCCTAAAACTGCTTTCATTACTCTGTAAGAGCAACATTTGTTTTAACCACTTCCATTTTCCAAACCGTCTTCTTCCATATTTCTTTTCAGTTCCATAAAATACATTTAAAGCACGGCTGAAATTGCCACTGGCTGCATCAAAGCAGCTTCCTCTCAGACAGATATGACGACAAACTTGTTTGTTACAGATGGTGGACAGCCTCTGGATGGCTGCTTCTCACAGCATGGCGTTACCTCCTTAAGCTACACACCCTAGTCAAGTTTAAATACTGTTACTTGTGGGTACACTAATGGTTAAGCTGTCCCAGTTTGTTTAAATGGTGATTTCACTGCATCTGAATTTTCTTGAGTCTTTGATGGTGCATGCATGCATGAACCTCCTAAAATGTGTAACATAGTTCAAAAACTGTTTAATAGTATACAAATAAACACAACCCCCCAACATGAGGTTGGCTAAATTAGGGGTTTTCAGGGGAATAAGTGAGTTAACTATGGGCTTTTTTCTGTGACACAGCAGGGTGGTTAGTCAGAAGCTGGAATGGCCTGAGAAAAGGATTGCACGCAAGTGTGTCGAAGTTTAAGAAAGAATAGAAGATGACGACACAAAAGGACAGAAATAAAAATAAAGGAAAGAGAAAAGCTAGGAAGGTGCTAGAGGTATGTTGGAGTACATAATGTAGGCAGGAGGTTGAGGAAAAAGAGGAAAATGTAATAGGGTATAGGTCACTGGGTTCAGCCTGGTGCTGCAACTAATGCAAGTCAGATGTTTATTCTGTTACTGGTACATAGGCAGGCTGATGGTAGCTTGGTAAGTTTACTCAAAAGGACTTTAATTGGCATTGTATTTTGATGATACCTGAACAAAGGTGTTGTTTCATCTCAAATCATCAAACTTTAAACACTTTTGCTCAGCAGTGTTTTTTCTCTTGGAGCTCTGCTATGCAGGCCATTTCTGCCCAGTCTCTTTCATATGTTGGAGTCGTGAACACTGACCTTATCTAAGGCAAGTGAGGCCTGCAGTTCTTTGGATGTTGTTTTGGGGTCTTTTGTGACCTCTTAGATCAGTTATCGCTGTGCTCTTGGGGTCATTTTGGCGTTTTTTGCCACTCCTGGGAAGGTTCATCACTCTTCCATGTTTTTGCCATTTGTGGATAATGGCTCTCACTGTGGTTCACTGGAGTTCCACAGCTTTCAAAATGGCTTTTTAACCTTATCCAGACTGAGAGATCTCAGTTATTTTGTTCCTCATTTGTTCCTGAATTTCCTTGGATTGCGACATGTCTGGGTTATGATGATCTTTTGGTCTACTCCACTTTGTCAGGCAGGTCCGATTTAAGTGGTTTCCTTGTTGAGACATGTGTGGCAGTAATCAGGCCTGGGTGTGGCTAGAGAAATTGAACTCAGCTTTCCAAAAATGTGACACACCACAGTTAATTTGTGTTATCACATGGGTGGCAATCACTTTTCACATGGGCTCATGTAGGTTAGATTTTTCCCCCCTTTACTAAAAAATCCCTTCATTTAGAAACTGCATTTTGTGTTTGCTTGTGTTATTTTTTTTTGACTAAAATTTAAATTTGTTTGATGATCTTTAACATTTAAGTGTGACAAACATACCAAAAAAAATTAGAAAAGCATGAAAGAGTCAAACACTTTTTTACACCACTGTAATATATTCTGTGAAATTGTAGTTTCATATATCAAATGCTTTTTAGATATTTATGTATGTTTTTTAATAAAAGGCCTGTCCTCCTGCTTTTAGACTTTTCTTTCATACATTGAAATCCGCCACAATAATTTTAACGTGAATGTTTAAACTCAAAAACCTTTAAGGATAAAGGCTCGATACTCTAACTCCTCTTTCTCACCATAAAATCTAATCAGAATTTGCAGTTTGAGACACATACACCAATAAATCTAAATCCCAGGATGTGCTAGTTGAAA